CAAACGCGTGCAGGGCGGCATAAAACATGCCAAACGCATGCGATCATGTGATTGACGCTCCAAATGCATGCCGAAGGGGGGGCGAGGGAAGGAAACAACGACGAGGCGGGATGATTATGATGTTCCCCGTGCAACGTACAATCACAAATATTGCAAGTCATGCTGTTCTTTCTGAAACAATGTGTATACGCAGTGTGTCTAAACCCATCTCGTATACAATGCGTCGAATCTGCTACGTTTGTTTCCTGTGCACAAAACTGATATGTTTCTGTTTTTCATATGGCGCTGAATCTCTGAGATTTTGCATTGGTCTTGCCCCAGCCCCTGAACATTCCAAGTAGCAATCGATTGATTCCCAAACAGGTTGCACAAGCGTCGAGAACAACCAAAAGTATCGCGGCGCCGTTGATTCCAGCGGTCTTGGTGAACAGTGGTCGCATGGTCGATGTTGCGATCGGTGCCAGCTCGTGTCGTAGTCGTCATTGCGGCGGGGATTGGGGCAGGGGTGGGAAGAGGAAGGGCGGGCGGGGGCGGAGGCGAAGGATGGGCGGGCGGAGGTGAGCGGCAAGGTCTTGGCATCTTGGCCCACGGCGGCCGACAATGCGGTAGAGCTTCTAGGTGAAGATGCGGCTGTCCCGGCACCATGTTCGGGCGCGTCTGGCAGTTCCCGTGGTTGATCGGCATCTTTGTCCGAGTAACTGCGCGTATTGGAAGACAGCGCGCATGAAGAAGAAATGCGATCAGCTCCGGCGCTGGTCGGGCAAGAACTCCGACGGGTAGCGTGGCCCAACGCCTGCCGCACTTCCGGTGGTACACGTGGTAAGTCGGCATCTTTGTCCGAGTCGCTGTCCACGCGCAGCTCCGTAAATCCAACTCGCAATTTTGATATATATATATATATATATATATATATACCGGCTGATTGCGCGCAAACGGCGTCATGGCATTGGGCTTCCTGGCGCCCCATGCCCGCCGCATTTCCTACTTCCCAGATTGGCCTTTAGACGTACCTTTGGCGCCGCCTTCCATACCCGCGGAAGATCTTTGCGATACCGTGTCACATTTATTCAATAATTCCCAGAATTTGGCATTCTCGCGCAATTCTTCCCAATTTTCCCAATCTTCTTCCCAAATGCGCTCGTTGGTGACGCCATCGACAGTTACTGCAAGAACAAGTTGCCCACCCACACGTACTTGATACGGTGATGTATCGGATACTTGGATATTGTACTCGTTCTGCATGTCTTGCTTCAGTATGTGTTTCAAACCAAAACATAAATTTCGAGCTGCCCTTTCTGCGGGTTCCCGATCCGGCGTGCACCATATTGTATTGGCGCCTCGTTGTAATTTTGCGCTACGTAATTGTGCGACTGCCGTGTCCCGGTCGAGCATCGTCCCAAACTCCGTGACGATGAGGATCTTGAGCTCGCCGTTTGAATAAATACTTGTGGGGATCGGCCCGGAAATCTTGTTGAGCTCGGTCCGTATGTATGCGGATGCGGCCTCCAGGGACTCGAAAATGTCCAGGTTACCAATTACCGCCGTGACACCGCGCTTCCCGTGGTAGTGGTCTTCATTCGCCATGTTATGTGAAATACTGGATGTTGGCTTTGGCGTGCTGTGTCTCAATGCTTGAACTTCTTTGATTTTCTTCATGTTTTGTTCCACTGTATCTTCCAAATCTGTATGCGTATTTGCGTATTTTCGAAATTACCATCCATTTCCTCCAAAGTTGATTCCATATTTGTGACGCGTATGCTCACATCGTCGAGGTTGGTGTTGATGTTGTCCTTCAGTGCTTCGAACTCCTGTCCAAGATCTCGTGGCATTGTTGGCGCAAGGTGTTTCTTGAACATCTTCTGCATGGCCTTCATCGTGACGGGCTCTTCTTCACCTCCCTCCATATCCGAAGTGTCGCCGTCGTCAATAGGGTCAATGGGCGTTTTCATTTTTGCTGCCTTGCGATCTGGAGCTTCGGGATTGCTTCCTTGAGGTTTGAGCTTGCGTGTTCCACTGTCTGTCTTTGTTTGTGCTGCGCCAGACATGCGTAAACAATAGCTGCAAATGCGCGAGAGATCGAAACATTTTGAATGCAACAACTGTGCGCTTGCAATCCAATTTGAGCCAACTTGAGCCACAATCGTCTTGAGCCAACTTGAGCCAAGTTGAGCCCACAGGGATTTGTCCACATCTCGCGAACATGCGTTCTGGGCACCAGGCTTGAGGGGTGGTTCGGATCAAAGCGCTGGTTGCCTCTTCGGATTGCATGGCGCGGCGAGCGGCATCACTGGCACGTGGTGTTCCAAATCACGATTGTCTTTACAGGACAGACGTGCGAATGCCATACGTAGTCAAATTCCGTCATAACAGCGTCGTGATCCGATTATGGCGGGGTTCCACCCTTGCAACCGCAACATCCCACGTTGGAAGGCTCACCGCGCCGCCTTTTCCAATTGTAGTTTGCACAAGGGTTTGGGTCAAGCGGCGCTGTCCGTTCTTCAACAGAACACGCCAAAAATAACCAAACTACAGAAACGGGCCCCAAACAAGAGATGCCTCCAAGATAGTTTCAAGTTGTCGCTTCCGAATTGTTAGCTGCGTCGTGGGTCACCGCGTACATGTCGGATGCAACTGGCAGTATATTTCGGATGACTTGATTCACTGTTGCCCGCAACCCAATGTACACTCAACATGTTCAAGCGTTGATTTGTTGTCATTCGCTCTTGCGCAAGCACGGTCACGCATTGGTCCCCAACAAGGTCCCCAATCCATTTTTCTGGTGGTTTGTCGGCTGTCCAAACGTCTTCGGCCGAAGGCCGAGACAGTTCCGCGCACATCGGATCAAATTGCGGCATTTAGCCCAAAGCAGTGACAATTCAAAATTTGACTTGTCCCGTAATTTGCGTAAGAAAACCGATTATTTGATATGGTCGTTTATCTGATCTAAAACTTCGTCAGAATCGGTGGCAAATCGTAGTAACCAAAATATGCAATTTGCATCAACGAAGGATTAATTATGAATAAATGCCACGTGTCCTTCTCTTCCAAGAACACCCGGAGGTGCGCACGATGGACGCTGTACACTTTCAAGAAACCGTGCGTCGGCGGTTACGGTGGCCCTCACCCTTGTGACAGGGGAAAGTCGGACATGGCAGTGCAACTTGAAACCCCTGGGGGCCATGCAACTTCATGCACACGCTCAGGCCGCTTGAAATTTTGCAAAACTCTTATCGATCACGTGCGGATGCAAATCATGCGGGAAACTGGAACACGAGTGCGGGAAAAAGGGTTTCGTGTACTCACGGGACACGGTCGCCCAATCCTCTTGAAGCCGCCTGGCTATTTGCGGTGGCTCAGCACTGTTTTCGGCCACCAGGAAGGGCGGGCAGGTTGGAGGTTCTAAGCTCAGCAGCGTGTTTTATCTATTCAACCTCCGGGGGCCGTTTTCTGGCCCAAGGCCGGTGGGAAAAAAATACAACAACTGCGCCAGATGGACCCCCGGAGGGGTCTGAGGACCGATTTTGAATGAACTTCGCCCCCCCCCCTCCTGACCCGCCGAGAACACATGTACACGTCCGACCGATGCCGACTGGCCCGCCCGCCTCGATTGCCGTGTGGACGAGCGGGTCGTCGTGCCCCGTCGTGACCGCGCCAGTCGTGCGAGGAGGAAATGTGACCGGCTCCTCCTGGCCCTGCAAGGTGCCTGCTGACGTTCCTGCTGATACTACCATTGACTCGTTGAGATCAAGTTGCAACGCTGGGGTCAGCTGCTGCGAAAAGCGGTGCGGCGGCCGCATCTGACGCTGCGAGAAGGGCACGTGGTGGTTGATGCTTCAGCCATGCGCGCGTCCGGGGCACGTGAGGATACAGTGCAGTATTTTCGGGCGAACCCGTGGTGGGTGATGTTTCAGCTGCGTGCGAGGATGTAAGAATGTCGGTGGGATGGTCAACGCCCGAAGCTTCGACAAGTCCCCTCTACACGGTAGAGACACGAGGACGCCTATTTATCCTGTTTGCCCCCCCTCATCGTCCCACATCCTCCTCATTCCCGTCCACTCTCTTCCCATCTCCTCCTCCTTCTCCCCCTCCTCCTCTCTCCTCGCCACGGTGCCATCCAGGCATAGCCGATGTGCGAGTGGGCACCCAGTGGGTACACTCTTCGCGCACATGTATCCTCCCCCTCCTCCTCCTCCTCCTCCTCCTCCTCCTCCTCCTCCTCCTCGCGCCCCCCTGATTGGATAGCAGGGGCCCCGTCATCGACTCGGGGATAGCCGGGGCACCCCCGCCAGCGGAGCTGGCGGGCGGTCGGCGCCGCCTGTATCGGCGGGGTAGAAGTGGAGCCGGCGACCAACCGGAGGACTGGCGGAGGCGGGAGGGGTCGCCCCCCCGGGGGAGGGGGGTAAGCCGCGGTGGGACTGTGCCCCTTCCTTCCTCCTTTCTCCTGGCTCCTCCCTCCTCCCCCCTCTCCCTCTCCTCTTCTCTCCCCCCCCCCGGGGTTCACAATGTCGCTGCGGTCCACTCCCCCGCTGGGGCTGGGCCGGAGGAGACCGCGGCGGCGCGCGGAGCGCGCTGCCGCGGCGGGTGGGCGCGGAACGCCCACGCTGTGCTGGAGCGCGGCCAGTGCTCGGCGCCAGAATCGCAGTGGTCGATTTTTCAGCTGCGAAATCTTGGGGGGCCCTCTCGTCCAGGGGAAGCCTGGAATAGGGGTGTGGCTCCATTATCGACGGTTGTGCTCTCGTGCTCATGGCACAGTTGAACGGCAAGCAAAATCCAAGCAAAATCCTCCTCCTCCTCCTCCTCCTCCCCCTCCTCCTCCTCCTCCTTCTCCTCCACCTCCTCCTCCTCCTCGTCCTGCCTCCTCCTCCTCCTCCTCCTCGTCCTCGTCTCGTCCTCGTCCTCCTCCTCCTCCTCCTCCTCCTCCTCCTCCTCCGCCTCCTCCTGCTCCTCTTCCTCCTCCTCCTCCTCCTCCTCCTCCTCCTCCTCCTCCGCCCTCTCCCGTTCAGGCAAGATGGCAGATGCGAGGCGTGCTCCGTTTAAGGGGCCGTCGCGCTCAGGAGGCCCAAGACGGGGGCCCAGGCACGACTCGGGTCTCGAACAGGCGCGGCGAGAGGAAGAGCACAGAGGTGACGGAGGCGCCGCAGCGGGCCTCCCACTAAGCAGCTACATGAGTTGAAACGTCTGGCCCGGGCGCGACCGAGGAGAGACGGCGAGGGTGCCAAAACGGATGGCAACACGCAGTTCCTGGTCGGTCAGGAGAGGACGATGCTGCCGAAAACACATCATGTCACAAGTACGTGCGTGCATTCATCGGGAGGCATGCGCACCGGAGGGTGAGGGCGGTGGAGGTGGAGGGACAGCAAGAAGAGATCAGAGGAGGAGGAGGAGGAGGAGGAGGAGGAGGAGGAGGTCTGAGGAGACGGACGAGGAGAGGGAGGGGGGAGGAGGGGGAGGAGAGGACGAGGGGAAAGAGATGAGGCGCTCTGAGGAGGAGCAGGAGCAGCAGGTCTGGTAAGGACGGGGAGGGAGGAGTGGGATGACGGAGGAGGAGGAGGAGGAGGATGGAGGAGGAGCAGAAGGAAGAGGATAAGGGAACGACGGAGGGAGGGAGGGGACGAGAGGAAGGAGATGAGAGAGGGAGGGAACAAGGTGGGAAGGGGATGGATTTTGGATTGCGAGGCCGATGGAGCATGAAGCTTGTCGGCGAAGTGTTGCACCCAATTGGCCAAATGAAAACTGGAGCTGGACCCCAAGCAATGACAAACAAGCGGTCACGGAAGAAAACAACACTCGTGAAAACATTTAGCACAGGTGCCCAGGAGCTCCGATAGCAATGCACAAGGACCCCACAACGGAGGGGACGGGACGCGCCAGCCCGAAAAGAGAGAGATGAGGGAGAGAGGGACTAGGGTTCTGTCGGGCGTGTCCCCCTACAGGAGGATTTTCGATGAAAAATTTAAAATACCCCAAACAATACCCCCAACAGGCAAACAATATTCAAAAAATAGTCCGCAGATTATTTTGGGAGTATCTTTGGACTATCTTGAGGGTGTGTTTTATTTCTCGTCGAGAATCCCCCTGTAGGGGGACAGGCCCGACTTCAGACTGGGGAGGAATGGATCAAGGCGGGGACAGCGCACAGGAAGCCACGGCGGCGCCTGCTCTAGGCTACTCCTAGTCTGGGCGGAGCGCCTCGTGCACACAGCAAGGGCCCTCGCAAAGGCTATACACTGGCGGGGAGCAGGGCTAGAATCATACCCTCCACTTCCTCACTGCTGCCTCTCCTCCTCCACTCTCCCCCTCCATCCTCCTCCACCGCCCCCCCCCCCTCCTCTTCCTCCTCCCTTTCCATCATCTTCCCCGTCCACCCTCCACGTCCACATCCACCTACTCCTCATCTCTCCTCTTTCTCCGTCCTCCTCCCTCTTCCCGATCCCTCCTCCACGCAGCAGAGGACGCAGCCGGAGGCGCCGCCAGAAGCAGCGCAAAGCCGGCGACCGGCCGCGCCCCACTCGCAGCCCCAGGCAGGAGAGCCTCGCGCACCCACAACGCCGCGCACTGACTGGTCTGCCTGGTCCCGGAGCAGCGGCGGCGGGCCCGGCGCCAGCGCCCAAGAAGACCCACCGCCCCTGGGGCAGCTCAGCCCCCGCGGGGCCAAGCCCCATACGCAGGAGAAACGAGGCGACTTACCACTGGCGCGGCTGGCAAGACTCGCGCGACAGCCTCTGATTGCCGTATCCCCCGATGCGACATCGATTGGGGGTAGCTGTGGAACCGCGGGGCGGATCACTTCGAGACCTGGATCGAAGTCATCAGCCGGCTCAAAAACACCTGCGGGGCGATGATCGTGGAAGGCCAGACACGCGCCCGCGAGGACCAGGGCGGCAAGGGTAGGGGCAAGGTGCCCAACCACCTGGACGGCAGCGAAGAATCCTGCCCGCGCTTCCTGCCCGGCCGGGCCGACTGTCACCACGCCGTCTGGGCCTTCTGCTGCCGCTTCCGAGCATGAGCTGGCTGGGGCGAGGCACGGCGCCAACCGCAGGAGCAGCAGGTGAGCGCAGCGGCGGCAGCAGAGGCCAAAGAAGGCAGGCGCTCCAGCGACGCCCCGTGGCCTTCCAGGGACCGCTCCCGCCTGCGCGGGATTCAGCGCGGGGCCTGGCCCAAAAAACGCTGGCGCGACGCGCCCCCGCCCCCGCCGCCGGCGCGCTCTGCGGCGGGGCGCTCAGGGCCGCTCAGCGAGCCCGCGCCCACGATCGGTCGCGCAGGGTTCGTGCCGCACTGGCGGCAGCTCCAACCGCCGTCAGCACAGCGCGTGTCCTCGTGACAGGCCGCCTCCGCCTCCGTCCAGGGGTGCCTGCCCCCCCCGAAAGTGGGCACCCTCCTGAGCTCGCGTGCGCTGGCGCCCGTCCGGTGCCCTGGACAGAGCGTCTGCCTTTTCATTCCAAGGTGGGCGCTCCCTGTTTCCTTATCACACGCTCTTGCACTGATCAGGTGATCCTGGCACGCGTGCTGCCGCCCAATTGAGCAGGGACCGACCGTCCCGGCATTCCTACAGTCCTACCACGAAATGTTCTTAGAACCCCAAAATGTTCTAAGAACAAAACAGTGTTCTTAGAACATAAACCCGATGTGATAAAACAAGACAGTCTCAGCCATACATGTTCTAAGAACATTTCGTGGAAACCACAAAAGGTTCTTAGAAAATTGTTTCGCAGGGCTATAGGCGAGCCAGGGCGCTACGACCCAATGCGGACGCTCTCTATATCTGTTCCCTCCCTGTGCCCTGGCGGGGGACGTCCGCCTCCAGAGCGGACGCTCCCCGCTCCTGCGCCGCAACCTCTCGCGCAGACCGGGTGCTCCTGGCCCGCGCGCTGCCCTCCAAGGCGACGCGCTCACGTAACCCATGGCCCCGGCCAGGGCGTCTACCCCCCAAGGTGGACGTGCAGGTTTTTCGTTGCGGGCGTGGGTGGATTTGGGAGGTGGCGCGGTGGCTGTTGGAACTCGACTTTCAATCCCGCTGACAGCTCGACTTGGTGGGTGTCCAGCGCCTGGGTCTCCCATGCGCTTGCGCCAATTTCTGGGTGCCCCAGTGTCTGGGTCACCCAACGTCTGGGTGCGTCTGGGTCACCCAGCATCTGGGTGCCCCTCGCAGCAACGGGGCGCCCCCTGGCTGCCCGTCCCTCCCTCGCGCTCGCGCCCTCCGCGCTCGTGCCCTCCCCCCCCCTCGGTGGCCCTGCCCTGCGCGCGAGGCCCCGAGGGGCTGCGCGCTGGGTGGGCCCCTGCCCTGCCCTCTCTGGGCCCCCGCCGCCCCGCTGGCTGGGCGCCCGCCGCCGCCTGGCTGACCCTGTGGCCGGGCTGCTGTCCACTCCGCCCGGCTGTGATGCGTGCGCCGGTCGAGCCGGGCGCTTTTCCCTCCCTTGAGAGGAAAAGGTACACACACACCTCTACCCTCTCCCCGTTTTCCACTTTTTGGGCCTCCTAGGCCTCCGTCGTCGCCACCGCTGGATTCGCCTCGAAATCCTGGTCAGAACGCGCCCCGGGAGAGGTCTGGGGAGTGGCGGTACCGGTACCTGTTGGTTTCCCCCATCCCTGTCCCCTTCTCCCCCTTCCTCCGGCGCCGCCACGTCGCCGCCTGGGCCGCCGCCGGGCTACAGCTGGCGCCTCAGTATACCGCCTCTACAGTCGCCAGCATCCTGGGGGGCCAGATCCGGCAGCATTTCGTTGCAGCCCACGCGCTTTGGTGCAGCCCCTCGCGGGCTTCTCGCACTGTGATCTGGACCGTGGTCCCGCATCCAGCTGGCGCCGACATTCTACAGCAAAGCCTGACGCTCGCGGCAATGGGGCGAACCATCGGATGCTCCCGCTCCCGCAGCCCCGTGGGCCCTCTTCCTGTTTTTGTTCCTGACGCAATGGCCCATCTTGCCCTTCACGCTCCCGGCGCCTGCAGCCCTGGCTTCGGTCCCTGGGCGTGGCTGTGAGGCCGTCCCGCGCCCACTGCCAGGCCACTTCCGCGCTGGCTGGCCGCTCAGGCGCGCTCATCCTGAAATGCTTTCAGCGTTCCGCGGTGAACCCCTCCAGTCCTCTGCGGCCTCTCCTCCCCGAGCGCCATTTCCTCTTTTTGCAGCCGGACAGTGAAGTTGCCGAGAGCCCCCGACAACTCGAGCGCCTGTGCGGATTGCGTCTGCCGTGCCGCGACGGAAAACATGTGTTCAGTGTGTGTGTGTGTGTGTTTCGTAGTGTGTATGTGTTCTTTGTGTATTATGTGTGTGTTGTACGTCGGGGTTGGATGTTCGGGGGGATGTTTCAGGCGGAGTTTCCATGTTGTGTAAGAATCGCGTTGGGAAGTGGCTCGGTGTTTGGAGGATGCCTCAAGCGCAACTGCAATTTCCGAGAAACGCATTCAACATCACTCAATTCCATTGTTCTTTTGAAGGTCATGTCAAAATGATTAAAAGAAGGCTGTGTTGCAACGTGATGTCGCGACCTGCGTGAGGGGTGCGTCCGATTTTCAGAATGTTGAGGATGTGCCGAGCGAAACTACCAACAAAAAGAAACGCGGCTTCACAAGTAATCGTCTCGGAACTGTGCTCCCTCGTGGAGGTGCGTATGATTATACATCTATATATATATATGTATGTATATACATGTACATTGTCAACTCTATATGTATGTCTGTATGTATGTATGAATGCGTACATGCATGCATGACTGAATGAATGAATGAATGTATGTATGCATGTATGTATATATATACACGTATGTATCGCAGCATCGTTTGTGTATTCTGGCTTTGCTCTGATCTACCTCCCCAACTCCTCATCAACCTCCTGCTCCGCATCCTCCTCCACCTCCTCATCATCGTCATTATGTTGGTCCTCGGTCTTCGCCTTCTCATCAGCTTGCTCCTCCGCCTCCTGAGCTTTACCCTCGTTCGCTTCCTTCTTCCCCTCATCCTTCACATCGGCCACCATCCCCCTCTTCCTTGTTCTCTTCTTCCTGAGCCTCACCCTGGTTAGCCTCCCCTTTCTCTAACTTATCATCCACAAATACGCAGCACACATACTACTCTGTTCTCCCTACTTTTACACAAGTTCTCGAACGTTTTCATTTTTATGTTTTGGTGATCGGAATGTGTTCGGTGTTTCAGCACGGTGCTCCCGCTGCAAAACATCGAATTTTAGGGTCGGCGCTGTGCTCCCGTCGTTCAGATCGGCGCTCAACAGCCGAAACGCTTTGAATTGGCATGTGAAACACATGTAACTACCAGAAGAGAATATCTGAAACACATGTAACTACCAGAAGAGAATCTCTGCACATCTTCGAATGTCAGAACCCTCCATCCTCCTCTGTTTCCTGATGTTCCTCATCCTTGTTCCCTCCCTCTGTGAGGTATGGGGTGAGACGCGCTACACGAGCGAACAGCAGGCAGTGGTGCTGCGGGACGGTCGAATCTAGAGTCAGTGGTAGCTCCTCACGCCGTCCAGGCCCTCCACCTCGCTGGGCGTTTCACGCGCGTGTGCAGAAGCCTTCGGCCAAATGCATATCCCCATCGTCGTCCTCCTCCTCCTTACTCTCCTCTACTCCTCCCTTTCCTCTTGCTTCCTGCTCCTGTCCCTCCTCCGCATCCGCCTCTTCTTCATGACCCTCCTTATCCTCCTTCTCTCGCGCTCTGCAGACGGCCTCCTGCGCGTGTGGAGACTCTCGGCGAAATGCCCCTCCTTCCCCTCCTCCTCCTCTTTCCCTTTTTTGTTTATCCTCTTCCCCCTCCTCCCCCTCATCGTCCCACTCTTGCGCCGCGAGGATGCTTAGGGGGAAACAAACCTACCTCGCTTTTGACCACCCTCGCTTCCAAGAGATACCAAACGATGCCAAACTGCGGCCTGTACTGGTCAGGCCGCTTGACGAGGAGGCGCGTGGTATGACTTGGTTTTGCCTGGAAGCGAAAGCGGGGTAGGTAATTCACGCTCTGAGATGCGTTCTTCCGTGTTCACGGCCCTCTTCCCTCCCGCTCCGCCCTCCTGCCCGTGGCCCCCCTCGCATTGAGCCCCTCTGCCTTCGCGGAACCTCGTTCGGTGCTCCTGGACGTACCGCTGCAGCTCCCAGAGGGGGCGTAAGACCCGGGTGCAGGGGACTCGGAAATCCCCGACGAGGTCGTCAACAAAAATGACGAGGCCGAGCCTGCATTTTGACGAGGCCTCCCGCTGCAGACATCCCACGAAACTCCTCCTCGTCAAAATCCGAGGCGCGGTCGTCAAAAAGCGATGGCGAACCCGAGTCCTGGCAAACCCGGGTCTTACGCTCCCCCGAAACTCCACGAGGCTGCACAGACAGGACCAGCTTCTCCACTCCGATCGCTTCTGCCGGCGGCACTGCGACCTGAAGGTTCTGTGTTGTCTGGAGCTGGGCCTCAACTCGCCCGTCGTCACAGTGTGCATGACTCGCGGGCTGCAGGCGGGGTGGCCTAGGGAACGAGCGGCGCTCCAACGAAGAAGTGGACGTGCATGCCCCTACCCTTTGCATGCGGACGAAGACGTAAGCTCCGACATGCGCCCCGCGACGAACTGGTAGGGTTAAGTCGGGCGTGTCCCCCTACAGGGGGATTTTCGACGAAAAATAAAACATACCCCACAAATATTCCTGAATGGCCAACAAATGCTCTAAACATAGTCCCCAGACTGTTTTTTATACTATTTTTGAATACTCCCCCTGTAGAGGGACAAGCCCGACATAATGGTAGGGCCCGAGGGAGGAGCTGGGCCTCTGCATGACCATCGCTGCACTAGCTCAAGCCCATGTGTTCCAAGCCGCGTGGCCTTAGAAACGGGCGGTGGTCAAGCGAGGAGCAGGACCTTAACATGCTCTCCGTTCCGCTTGCCAAAATTTGTGAGCATCGTCCCCAACCCGACGGGCGTGCGATGTCATGCCGTATGACAGCTATCCGAGCCCCTCTTGGAGCCGCGTTCCTTCGACCAGCCGCAACGATCGAAAAAAACAAATCCGCGTGTGCTAAACCTGAGGAACACCGAAGTGGCTCGACACCATAAGAAGCAACGGAACGCATGCAAAGTTAAGGCACAACTGGGCCCCTTCCGACCTCGAATCGGGCCCTCTGTCAACGAGCTGACTGCACAGAATCGCGCTCCGGAAGATGTCTCCCCGCCCAACTTGGGACACGTACGCCATTGTCCCCCGTGGTCCTCTCAGACCGCGGGCCCGGGCCTATATCAGGTGTCAGCGGATCATGATGTCGGGACTTCCACAACGCTCTGAAGCAACACGGGTTCCGCGCGCACATGCACGCGTTGATGCGAGCAAGCAGACATGCCGGACGTCTTCCCTCACGAGACCGCCGTCGCGTGGACGAGGCACCAACTGGAAAAAGTGCCCGCTCACCAGCAGCGATGGCCTCGACGCGATGGAGCGCTGATGGAGCGCGAATTCGCCGCCTGGCCAAACCAGTACTAAACACACATGAATTGCCACCTTGACAGCTCTTGAACAACTGAGCGGGGCGCGAGTGCCAGAGTTTCAGAACCAACGACGGAGAGCCATGGCCACGGAGATGCGCGCGTGCCCTGCGCGCTGAAAAAAACATGCCGTCGCCCTGGGGCCCCGCGCGTGAGCGATCAGCTGGTGAATTCGCCGGCTTGGTTGTCAAGGGTAGACTGGGAATACGCCTCTACGGTGCGTAATCTCCTGCATTGCCCAACATATAATTCATAATTCGACCGTCGATCACCGAGTTCGCTTCTGCTCGGTCCATAGAAGCACCATCGTCCCCCATGATAATGTGAATGCCTATCAAGAAGCTCCTAATATGATCGGACAAGAACAGGAGGCGCCGATGTTGTTCGTTGGGCTCGTAGGGGGGGAAAGAAGTGAAAGATAATGGCGACGACAAGGCGGTGGATGACAGCCAAGGTCACCACGACGGCCCAAGATGCCTCGACGATGGCTTCAAACTGGCCGCCGAATATCCACAGGACGGCCCAAGATGCCTCCAAGAGGACTCATGAGGGCCACAGGAGGACCTTCAACGGGACCCGAAGAAGCCCAAATCATTGATTCCCATTGGGTTGTTGAATGCGTTTCGCATTCTCGACCTTGCCGGGTTCCTGTCGGCTCCAGACAGCCCAAGTAGCCTCCACGATGGCCCCCAGACGGCCCAAGGGCACCCCCCTGGGTCAGAAGATGGCCCCAGAGGACCCCGCGATGGCCCAAGGGATAGCCAAGACGGCCAAGGAGAAGAGGGCCTCCCGTGGGACCCAAGACGGCATCATGAGGCCCGTCGACGGCCCCACGACGGCTCTCGGGCGCCGACCATACGGCACACAGAGCCCCCGGACGGCCTAAGAGATAACCCCTGGACGGCTCGCGAGGGCCGCGGGCCCCAAGACCCCACGGGGGCCAGGACAGCCCCAAGGCGGCCCGAACGAGTTCCACGAGAGCTACTGAACGATTAAAGACGCAAGGTGTCACATGTGACGGCATTCCTCTTCCTCCTCCTACTCCTCCTCCTCCTCCTCCTCATCATCATCAGAATCATCATCATCATCATCAGCATCACCCCATCGCCATCACCACAATCATCACCCACACCATCACCCCATCATCACCACCACCATAATCACAATCGCCACCACCATCACCACCACCACCATCGCTATCATCATCATCATCACCACCACCACCATCATCATCATCATCGTCATCATCAGCATGGTTACCACCATCGTAATCATGAGCGTCATCGTCATCGTCATCATCATCACCACCGCATTTATGATGATGCTGATCATAATCATCATCAGCAGCATCATCACCATCAGCATCAGCATCAGCATCAGCATCAGCATCAGCATCAGTATCAGCATCAGCATCAGCATCAGCATCAGCATCAGCATCAGCATCAGCATCAGCATCAGCATCAGCATCAGCATCATCATCATCATCATCATCATCATCATCATCATCATCATCATCATCATCATCATCATCATCATCATCATCGTGATCATCATCATGATCATCAACATCACCATTATCATCACCATCACAATCACCATCATCACCGTCACCATCATCATCAGCACCATCATCGTCATCATCATCAGCATCAGCATCATCATCATCATCATCATCATCATCATCATCATCATCGTCAGCATCTACATCAACATCATCATCATCATCGTCATCATCAGCGTAATCAGCATCACCACTACAATCACCATCACCGTCACCACCACCCTCATCGTGATCATCAACACCATCATCAGCATACGCAGCATAAACATCATCCTCGTCCTCATCCTCATCCTCAGCGTAGTCATCACACTTATCGCACTCATCATAATCAACACCGTCATCACTATTCATCTTCAGAGGCATCATCATCATCGGCGTCGTCATGATTTTCACTCATCCTCATCACGGCTCTCCAAGGACTGGAGGCACGAGGTGCTCCTCGAACTGTCGCTACCAGCAACGCGTGGCTTGCATGGTGGCGGGACTTGTCGCAGGCAGCTGGGCAAATATGCTAATGTGTCGTGATTGCGTGGCGTCCAGACCAATCTGGGCTGTGTTCGTCCACAAGCATGCGAACTGAATGGTCTGTTGGTTGTGCTCTCCGTGATGGGCGCGTCCCGACCACCTTGTCAACACGGCTCGTCCACATGCAACGTCAACCAACGATTCCGAACCACTTGCGGAATGAAAGATTCGTAATGCTGGCCCTTTCTGATCCACGAAGCCGGCGGCTGCTGCACTTCGCCCGCCTAAAAATCAGGCTCCGTGAACGTCGGCCGTTGTTCTGACTGGTCTGCAACACGCGCTCGTCCTCGACCGCGTGTCGCCGTCGTTGTAGTCGTCGTCCTCCTCCTCCTCCTCCTCCTCCTCGCCCACGACGGCGGCGGCCGCGACGACGAGCCCGGAGCCCCTCCTGAGCGCTCGTAGCTTACGAAAGGCCACGCTTCAGCGGGGCCATGTCTATGTCCGCCTTCAGGGCGTGGAGCTCCTGCTTTTGATGGGGGGGGCGGGGGCTCTGGCGGACCTCTGGTCTGTCGGGTGGGCGGTTCGAGGAGGAGGAGGAGGAGGAGGAGGAGATCATCTCCCTCCTCCTCCTCGTCCTTCTCCTCCTCCTTCTCATCCCCCTCCTGAGTCTCGTTCTGTGGACCCTCCTCCTACCCTTGCTCCTCCTCTTCCTCCTGACCATCAACGCCGTCAGGTCTCTTCCTCCTCCTCGCCCTGATCGGCCTGGTCCTCCCCCTCCTGACGGACTAGAGGGGGGAAGGAGAGGAGCAAACGCAGGAAAACAACGTGGAGGAGGAGGACGACAACAACAAAACAACAAGGCTCCATGGGGGCTCTATGAGGCTACTGTGTCATGGAACTCTGGGGAGATATCAAATATTCTGGAGGTCATACGGAGGAGGGAGTGAAGACGAGCAGGGCGAGACGAGACGAGACGCCGATACCCGTGGCCGCGAGCGAAGTGCGCGGGCGCGCGCCCTACCCCCCTACGGGGCACGATCCCTGTGAACGGTCTGCCTGACTGGCGCCGTGCAGACGCCCTCCATTGAGTTGTAGTTCGAGCTCGAACGGGGCACGATCTGTGAGGGGGATGCCGAAATGGGCGGAATACCGCCATCCGTGCGCCCTTACTGGAAGCCATTGAGCTTCCCGTGTGGCACAATGTGTGGCAAGGGGGTGCGGCCATGGTCGGGGTGGCGCCATGCGGGCGCAAGAGAGACTCATCGAAATATCAACAGAACTCAACGGACGTGAGACTTGGGGGGGACACGTGCGGAGACAGACGCAGTGGCAGGGACGCTGTGACACTGGACGAGGAGTGCGGACGGTGGCAAAGGCGAGAGTAGAGGAAAGGAGACCACATGGAGAAGGAGGTGACGCCAGCATCGGTGGACATTTGAGAGCATTTTCATATCCATGGAGATAGCACGCACCGTGGGGGGTGGGAATGGGGGGCATCACGCAACGCCGCCCCCCGTCCGCAACGTGCCCCGGGGACCACCGCAACTTGTCCGCAACGCGCGCGGGCACCGCAACCATGTAGCAAGATAGAATCGTTGCGTTTGTGCGCAGCCCAATATGCCTGCGATCGCTACAAGATGCCAACGATCAACACAATATGCCTGCGAATCCTGGGTCTGCTTGTGACCGTCAGACACAGAAGAAAACCGGACAGGCCCTTCCAGAACCACAATACCTTGTCACAATATGCGCAGACCATGCAAGGTCCACAGCAACCTGCGACCACCATCAGGATATTCCCAGCGGTCTGCTGGACGTTGCCGGTTCAACAAAATATGTGCGATCACCGCAACCGACGAACACCACAACAGCCTGCGACTGCCACTACTGTGTCGCAAATATCCACAACACTAGTATGCCAGAACCTGCCAATACGGCAACAGCCTGGGACCACCACGGTACGCTTGCAGTCGTATGCCAGTGTGCTTATGGCCACCACATGTCAAGGGAATCCTGATCATTTCAATCCACACTAGCCTTCACATGTTAGAACATGCGCAACATGCGCAAGACCCGACAGTACAATGATGTGAGGTCGAGCACACCAATAAGCTTGCGAACACAACAATTTGCCTGAGAGCACCACCGTGTGCTTACGACGCCCAGACGGCGAGGAACGTCGGACCCCCTGCCAGGTCTACCTCAGCGTCCGAGCGCACACAAATCCAAAACAGTATGCTGGGCCCTGCAGGCATCACAATAGTATGCGAGCCCCGCGGCCTTCGAGCGCCACAATCACCTGCGATTGCCACAACAGCACCATAAGTACGCACAACATAATGCCAGACCCTTCCAATATCAAGGTGTGCCTGCGAACGCACAAAACGACTGTGAGCATCTCTATAGCAGACGCCATTGTGTGCCTTTGAGCAATACCGTGCGCTGTCGACCTCCAGGCGGCGAGGAAGTCGGACCCTGCAGCTGCTGCAATAGCCTGCAAGCGCACCAACATGCTGGAGCCAGCCCAGACAACAGTGCGCGTGTTAACACAACAGTATGTCTGAGCACACCGCAACGACTTGCCTGCGAGCACCAAGACAGGCGGCGAGAGTAACATCTTGCCAGTGCCACAACAGCCTGCGAACGCCACAGCATGCCTGCGAACGCCACAGCATGCCTGCGACCACCGCAACGTGCCCGCCAACACCAGACCAGGCCTGCGAGCACCATGCTGCACCCGAGGACCACACGCAAGCCTGGGAGCACCACGATGCGCCCTCGGGCGCCACGGCAACCCGCGCACGTCCCGCCAGTCCCACGGGGGCACCGCGACGACCCGTGGCCGCCAGACGTGCTGCGAACTGCGAGGCTGAAGCGCACGCGCGCGCGCTCCAGCGGTGCCAGGGGCGCACCGCGGGGAGTAGCCTTAGGTCGGGCGTGTCCCCCTACAGGGGGATCTTGGAGGAGAAAGAACACATAGTAGAAACATGCCCAACAAATAGTCACACATAGTCCTCGAATCGTCCCAAGACTAATTCTTTCACCTATGTTTGAGTATTCCTCCCTTGCCATCGCTCGGACGTCCATTCCCCGTGCATTAGTCGGTGTCGTGCGTGTTCTTTTTTTGCTCGATGATCCTGGATTCTCCTCGATGGTCCTCGCCGAGAAAAAAAGCACGCGTCCGAGCGATGCCAAGCTCCTGCAGAGGGACAGGCCCGACGTAGCCTCATGGGGGGGGGCGGGGGAGGGCCTTTAGGGGAACCAACAATGACAGAAACACAAAAACTCGGAGGTCCGCGCGGATTTCTCGGATCGGCGCTGAACCCCCCCTCCCTGGCGCGCGGAGCGCGCCAGGGGCGGCGCCGGAGGCGGCGCCGGAGGCGCCGCCAGGGCGGTCCAGCGCCGATCCGAGAAATCCGCGCGGACCTCAGATTTTTTATGTTTATTAGGGGGCAAACAAACCTACCTCGCTTTTGACCACCCTCGCTTCCAAGAGATACCAAACGATGCCAAACTAGGGCCTGCACTGCTCAGGCCGCTTGACGAGGAGGCGCGTGGTATCACTTGGTTCTGCCTGGAAGCGAAAGCGGGGTAGGTAGTTCACGCTCTGATTTATGGCATTCTTCCGGTCTTCGGTTCACGCTCTTGCGATTATTTTTACTTTTATGGCGATCACTATTACTATTATTCTAATGTAATTATTTTTACCATTATTTTTACTATTACTATTACCATTATTTTTACTTTTTATTTTAATGTCTTCTGATTTATGGCATTTATTTTTAGTTCACGCTCTGATTTACGGTCTTCGGGACGTGCCTTCGCTGCATGCCGTGGAGCCCCGGGCGTGGCCCGGGCCCGCCGTGGCCGGGCGCGCCCCTGCGCTCGGAGCTGCGGGAGCCCAGACCTCCCAGCGGTGGGGTCGGCTCGGGGCCGGGCCCTCGAGCGAGCCCGAGGGGGCGGCGGCGGTGGCGAAGGCAGTTACGAATCGGAGGCTGAGTCTTGATGATATATATATATATATAGATGTAGAAAAATCCTGATGAGGCTTGACCTCGCCTTGAGGGCAAACCGATATCGTACCATACCCTGATCCTCCTCCTCCCGCCTCCTGGGGGAGGAGGCGCAAGTGCACAGGGGCGGGGCGGAGGCGGACGGGACAGGGCGGCGCCTGCTTCGCATAGGCCAGGGCGGACTCGATCTTCCCGAGGCGTCCCGCGTAGGTGCCCGGCTCGGCCACCTGCCCCTCCCGTCGGGTGTTGCCAGAGGTGCCCCTGGCCCAGGGCGTCTCCAGGATTCCCGCGAGGCACGAGATGCAGTGAGGCTTCGGGTTGCGCGCCGACGGCCCCTCCAAGTAAAAGCAGCCCCAGCTGGCCTCGATAGCACCCGCAGGTAGCCACAGCTGGGCCACATCAGGCCCCCCGAGTACTCCAGATTTCGTAATAAAAGGGAGGGGGTCTGGACCCTCCAAGACAAGCCATTTCAGACCTCCCCCCGTGGGAGAACCCTCCCAAACATCGTCCCCAGACCACTCAGGCCCTCCAAGATAGCCTGGAAGAGACCCCCCCCGAAATGAGACCCCCCTCCCTTTATCACGAAATCTGGAGCAGCCTGGGGCGGTCTCAACACCCCAGCTCTGGGGCGAGCAGCGCCCCTGGGGCGCCGCCGGAGGCGGCGCCAGGGCGCTGAGGCTGCCCCCGACGGCTCGGGGGGCCTCCCGTTCGCAGCCCGAAGCCTCGCCAGGGAGGACCCGACGGCCTCCAGGGCACGCCTCGCGAGGCTCCGAGGGCCCTTGCCCCGGGGACGCCGACTTCGGGCCGCTGGGCGGGGAGGGCAGCCTGGCTCACCCCCTGCCGGAGCCCCGCCGTCGGGCCTCGAGGCGGGGGCTGCGCACTGTGGGCCCCGCGCGCGCGGCACGTCTGCGGCAAGTGCAGCCTCCCCTGGCCTTCGGGCCGGCCCCCGAGGGCCCCTACGTGGCCGAGGCTCTCCCCGTGGGCCCGGCGAGCCCCAGCGAGCCCCGCGGGTGGGAGTGCCTCTCTCCGTGGCCAGGCGCTGCCTCGTGGAGGCCCTTCCCCGGCAGTGGGGACGCCCGCGTGTGACGCTTCTCGATCCCATGCCCTGAAGATTGGCCCAAAGGGGGCGAAGCCAGGGCCACCCCAAGGCACACGTCAAGGATCGGTGTCCCGCTCACCGTCCTGCTCCTCCCTTCTCTTCCCTCCCCCTCCTCCTGCCGAAAGATAGAGGCAAGGCACATTACATGAGCATGTACTTGTGGAGCTCCGGGCGGATTCCTTGGATCGGCGCTGGCACCCCTCTGGCGCTTCCGACGCCGCCCGTGGCGCGCTCCGCGCGCCAAGGAGTGGGGTCCCAGCGCTGATCCAACAAATCCGCGTGGACCTCCAAAACGTTATGTTTGTGCTGCTGTTTTCTTCTTCCACTCTTCCCGACTATGCCAAGAGATGCACTGGCGCCCGCCGCACCGTTGCCGCGCTCGCCTCGAGCGCCGCCAGGATGCCGCCCAGTGGCGGCCTGCGGCGCGGTCTGGACACCTCCTCCTGCGGCTGCTCCGTATCGTCAGACTACGGCGACGACGGAAGCGTCGACGACAACGACGACGTGCGCGGGCGGAACCCATAGGGGAAGCCCTTCTGCTGCGGTGATCCTGCCCCGGCCTCTGATCGCTTCTTTCCAAGAAGCGCCCTTACTCAGGTTGCTCACCGTGCTCATTCTCATCCACCTCACACTTGCTTCTCCCACTCCTTTTTCTCCTCCTCCTCCTCCTGCTCCTCTTACTCGTCTCCTGCTCCCCCTCCTCCTCCTCCTCCTTCTCCTGCTCCTGCTCCTGCTCCTCCTCCTCCTCCTCCTTCCCCTCTTTCTCCTCCTCCTCCGCCTCTTATTGTTATTATTCGTCTTATTATGTTTTTGTTTTATGTTACTATGTTTCTTATTATTATTCTTCTTATTATTTTTCTTATTCTTATTCTGCTTCTCTCTCTATATATATATCATCATCATCATCATCATCATCATCATCATCATCATCATCATCATCATCATCATCATCATCATCATCATCATCATCATGACCAGCATCAACATCAACATCAACATCAGCATCATCATCATCAGTAGCATGCTCAACAACAACAGCGTCATCACCAGCATCATCTTGTCATCAACATCACCATAATTAGACGCATCCTCCTCACCGGCACCATCACCGTCACCATCACCGTCACCATCACAATAATTTCCACCACATCACCATCACCGTCACCATCATCATCACCACAACCACCACCACCATCAGCATCAGCATCATCATACTCGTCGTCGAATTCAGCATCATCAGGATCATCCTCATCATCAATATTCTCATCAGCGTTATCATCATCATCACCTTCATCATCACCATCACACCCACCACCACCATCATGAGCATCATCGTCATCAGCTGCATCATGACCATCATCATCACCACAATCATCAGGATACTCATCATCATCAGCATCCTCATCATCATCACCATCATCATTATCATCATTATCATTGCCATTGCCATTATTCTAACCACCACCATCATCATATGTCGTCGCCATCATCACCATCAACATCGTTGTCGTCATCATCAGTATCGTCGTCATCATCAGCATCATCATCACCAACAGCATCATCTGTTTCACCATCATCGTCATCACCACCACCACCATCATCATCATCAGCATCGTCAGTATCATCTTCATGTTTGCTATTGACATTCTCAGCGTCATTATCCGCAGCAGCAGCATCAGTGCCAGCATCAGCAGCAACAACAATAGCCTCATCATCGCAAATATCCTCATCATCAACTTTCTCATCATCCTCATCATCATCAACATCACTACCGTCATCGTCGTGGTCATCACCACCATCATCATCACCACCATGCCCGCCAACACCATATGAGCATCACCATGGTCAGCAGCAGCATGACCCTCATGATCAACACCATCATCATAATCTTCCTCAGCATCAACATATTCGTTGTCGTCATTATCGTCGTGGTCGTCGTCATCAGCATCGCCGTCATCATCAGCAGCAGCATCGTCACCACCTCCACCATCATCATCACCACCATCACCACCATCATCACCATCATCAGAATCATCACCATCATCATCAATGTCAATGTCATCATCATCATCATCAGCATCATCATCATCATCATCATCATCATCATCATTGTCGTCATCATCATCGTCGTCATTATCATCATCGTCATCATCATCACCATCATCATAAACACCACCACAACCAAAATCATCATCATCTTCATCTGAATCATCATCAACATCACCATCATCACCACCATCTTCATTATTGTTAACGTTATTGCCACCATCATCACCATCATCAGCAGCATGAGTATCAGCATCAGCAGCATCATCATCAGCAACCTCATCATTTCTTTCCTCATCATCCTCATCATCATCATCGTCACCACCACCATCATCATCGGCATTATCATCATCAGGATCATCATCAACAGGCTTATCATCATCATCATCATCATGACCAGCATCAGCATCATCATCAACATCATCATTACCGCCACCACCATCATCACCACCATCACCATCACCATCACCATCACCATCACCATCACCATCACCATCACCATCACCATCACCATCACCATCACCATCACCATCATCATCATCATCATCATCATCATCATCATCATCATCATCATCATCTCCATCTCCATCCACTATTTGTCCCCATCCTCCTTCCCCACCTCATCCACCTCCTGCCCCTCCTCCTCCCGTCTCCCAACCCCTTTCCCCCTCTCCACCACGGCCCCTCTCTCGCCTCTCTCCCGCCCCCATCGACGAAGGAGCATTAGGAGACCCGCCGTCTCGTCAGCCACTCTCCAGCCAGGAGGAAGATGGCACGCCTCTCCAGCTTATCGCTCAACATGTCCAACTTTCTGCCCAGGTTGTCGTGATGCTTCGAGATCCTGTTCTGGAGCGTGTGGAGCTGGTTTTTTCGTGCCGTCCCAAGCTCCTGGCTCCGGGAGGGACGCAGGAGGAGAGGAGGCGGAAGGGGAGGGGGCAAGAGACGGAGGTGAAGGAGGGGAGAGAGGGCCTCCTGGGCTGTCTGCCAATTTCTCGGGGTCATCTTGGGCCGTCTTGGACGTCCTTGGGCTTTGTCCAAGGCCTCTTGGGGACCAATTTGGTTGAAACACTGGCAAGGACTTGATCCCCAAACGCCTGATGGGGCTCGCCATATGTTGGGGCTCTGGCGGGTCGGCACTGGCCGGCCAACACCCGCAACTTTCCTGGCTCTCTTTTTGGCAGGTGTGCCATAGCAGCCGCAAAACAGAGTGCCAGAGCAGGAGACAGTACCGGCGCACCCTGCGGGATCTGTATGCCCAGACTGTGCGAACGAATGTGAGGACGTTTGCGCTCGCCAGGCCTTGAGCAGCGAGCGCGGGTGTTCGTATTGCATGTTTGCAGTAAGGAGTTCTACCTCTGATTTCTACGTAGTTACAACACGTCGTTCATTTCTAATCGTGCTTATTTCTAATTGTGCTCGTTTCTACTTGTTCCTGGCCCCCTAGAGGCCAGGAAGAGGCCTAGGACAGCACAATTAGAAATGAAAGGATCTTGGCCCCAAACAAAAATCAAGGAAATCTCGAAAAATTAGAAGTGAACCACGTGTAGGTGGGTGCGTCGGCGTCTCGCTCGGCGGGCGCCAATCGGCGCTTTGTGGGCGCAGCGTGTGTGTGTGTGTGTGTGTGCTTGTGTGTGTGTGGGTGTGTGTGTGTGGGTGTGTGTGTGTGTGTGCGTGCGTGCGTGCGTGCGTGCGTGCGTGCGTGCGTGTGTGTGTGTGTGTGTGTGTGTGTGTGTGTGTGTGCGTGCGTGCGTGCGTGCGTGCGTGCGTGCGTGCGTGTGTGTGTGTGTGTGTGTGTGTGTCGAGGTTTCGCCCAGTGGGCGCTCGTGGGCGTTCCGTGGAAGCCTCGTGCGCTGGGTTTGCGTTCCGGCGTTCCGCCACGGGCGCCTCGTCTGTGCGCTGGCTTGTACGACGTAGGTTCTCTTCTGCGTGATATTCAGTGAAAGTATACCCTCACGCCGAGGCCAGACTTGACCGTCTGGCTTTTCACACTGTGTTTCATAATAGTATTTCAAGCATTCAATCAGCACATGCGCAGCCGTCTCCAACTCTACCTCTATCTCTCTCTCTCTCGTTCTCTCTCCTTCTCAAAATATGTAAACGCATGTGTGTCTGTGAGTGTGCTCATGTTTGTGCCTATGTGTGTGTATATATATGCAAGACTGCATTGGCGCTGCGCGCCATGCACCTTGGTCCTTTGAGTTCTGCACGCAAGCGGAATGCGTGCGTGCGTACATGCGCGCATGCATGTATACACGCGCGCGTGCATGCACGTTCCGTATACATGTCTAGGTGTATACAATATACTTACATTGTTTTGCATGTGTGTATACAGCGTACATATGTACACATAAATTTATGTGTGCACGGGTATGAACATGCATATGCGACTCGTACGGGGCATCCTCGGGCATCTTCGCTGCATGCCACGAGACCCTCAACGACTGGGTCACAATGTGAAATGTCATGGGAGCAAAATCAATGTATGTTGGCATTCGGAAACATCGTGGGTGTGTTTTCGGGGCCCTCGTGGGCCGCTTTGGCGCCTTCATGGGCCGTCCTGGGGCCTTCTTGGGGAGCTTGGGCCCGCTGGAGCCCACTTTGGACCCATCTTGGGCACTTCCGGGGACCTCCCATGGCCCTTTTGGGTCTGTGCTGGGAGCCCTTGGGGGGCCTCTTGGTTCCATTATGGGCTGTCTTGGGGCTCTCGTGGGCGATCGTGGGGCCCGGCTCGGCCGTCGTGAAGCTTTCTAGGGGGGCCTTTTTGGAGCGTCTTGAGACGATCTCGGGAGCTTTGAAACCGTTTTGATGATGAAATCCGAAAGACGAATATGTTAAAATTGAAAGTTTTACGCAAGGAATGAGCAGATTTTTGTAGTTTGAAGGCCCCTTGGAAAGCTTTTTGGGATGCCTTGGGGGTCTTTATGTTGGCATTCGGAAACATCGTGGGTGTGTTTTCGGGGCCCTCGTGGGCCGTTTTGGCGCCTTCATGGGCCGTCCTGGGGCCTCCTTGGCCGTCGTGGGGAGCTTGGGCCCGCTGGAGCCCATTTTGGACCCATCTTGGGCACTTCCGGGGACCTCCCATGGCCCTTTTGGGTCTGTGCTGGGAGCCCTTGGGGGGCCTCTTGGTTCCATTATGGGCTGTCTTGGGGCTCTCGTGGGCGACCGTGGGTGGGGCCTGGCTCGGCCGTCTTGCAGCTTTCTTGGGGGCCTTTTGGGGCATCTTGAGGCGATCTCGGGGGCTTTGAAACCGTCTTGAAAGCTGATGAAATCCGAAAGGCGAATATGCTAAAATTGTAAGTTTTACGAAAGGAATGAGCAATTTTTTGTAGTTTGAAGGCCCCTTGGAAAGCTTTTTGGGGTGCCTTGGGGGTCTTTATGTTGGCATTCGGAAACATCGTGGGTGTGTTTTCGGGACCCTCGTGGGCCGTTTTGGCGCCTTCATGGGCCGTCCTGGGGCCTTCTTGGGCCGTCTTGGGGAGCTTGGGCCCGCTGGAGCCCCCTTTGGACCCATCTTGGGCACTTCCGGGGACCTCCCATGGCCCTTTTGGGTCTGTGCTGGGAGCCCTTGGGGGGCCTCTTGGTTCCATTATGGGCTGTCTTGGGGCTCTCGTGGGCGATCGTGGGGCCCGGCTCGGCCGTCTTGAAGCTTTCTTGGGGGCCTCTTGGGGCGTCGGGAGGCGATCTCGGGGGCTTTGAAGCCGTCTTGGAAGCTGATGAAAACCGAAAAGCGAATATGCTGTAATTATACGTTTTACAAAAGGAATGGGACGGTTTTTGCATTTTGAAAGCCTCTTGGAAAGCTTTTTGGGGTGCCTTGGGGGTCTTTTGGGCCGTCCTGAAGCAATTGGAGTCCCTCTTGGAGCGCTCTTGTGCTGTCTGGGGCCTCCCTTGAGCCTCTCTGATGACCCCTCTGATCGCTCTGGGTCTGCTGGCAAGGCGTTTGTGGAGGCCCGGAAAGCCGGGTGACTTCTTCCAGGGACGTCCCAGGGAGCCCGAAGACCCTAGATCCCGGGGATCCAGTTTTTTTTTGGGGGGATGGTTTTCCCCCCCCCCCCCCCGGGCTTGTAAATAAATAGGAAGAGGAATACGTAACACCCCGCAATTGCGGATAAGAGTGAGGGGGCGGGCGCGGGCGACGCGGGCGTCGAGCCGGCGGGCCTCGTGGCCCTCACCATCCCTGTCGATGGCGCCCTCCTCCTCTTCCTCCTCCTCCTCCTGCTCCTCCTCCTCCTCTTCCTCGTCCGCGTCATCGTCCTCATCGTCGTCGTCGTCGTCGTCGTCGTCGTCGTCGTCGTCGTCGTCGTCGTCGTCGTCCACTTCCTCCTACCCTTCCTCCTTTTCCTCCTCCTCCTCCTCTTCCTCCCCCATCCCGATCCCCCCTCTGCCTCCTTTCCGTCGTCGTCGTCCTCCTCCTCCTCCCCCTCCTCCTCCCTCCGTTCTCGTCGTCCCCCTCCGTCCCCCCCTCCTTTTCCTCCTCGCCCTCGTCGTCGGCCTCCTCTTCGTCCTCGTACTCGTCGTCGTCGTCGTCGTCGTCGTCGTCGTCGTCGTCGTCGTCGTCATCTGCCTCCTCCTGCTCCTCGCCCTGCTCCTCCTCCCCTCCTCCGCGGAGCGCGCGCGCGCGCGCCGGGGGGGTGGGTCGCGGGCTTGTTCAGTGAACGTAGTTTGGGTCGCGGGTGGGTCGCGGCCTCTCCGCCTCCACCTAGAAGGAATTCAAAAACAGCCCGCCGCAGGCGCCGAACATTTTGATTTGTACACTGAACGCGGTTTGGGTCGCGGGTGGGTCGCAAGTTCTCCAATTGGAGCGAATGCAAAAGAAACCCACCGCAGGCGCCGGAAATTTTGGGTGGGTCGCGGGGTGGGTCGCGGGTGGGTCGCGGGTGGGTCGCGGTGGGTCGCGGGTGGGTCGCGGGTGGGTCGCAGGTTCTCCACCTGGAACGAATGCACAAGAAACCCGCCGCAAGCGCCGAAAGTTTTGGGTGGGTCGCGGGGGTGGGTCGCGGGTGCGGTCGCGGGGGGGGTCTCGGGGTGGGTCGCGGGCGGGTCGCGGGGTGGGTCGCGGGTGGGTCGCGGGTGGGTCGCGGGGTGGGTCGCGGGGGGTCGCGGGGTGGGTCGCGGGGTCGCGGGTGGGTCGCGGGTGGGTCGCGGGGGGGTCGGGTCGCGGGGTGGGTCGCGAGTGGGTCGCGGGTGGGTCGCGGGTGGGACGACGACAACAACAAACAACAAACATCAACAAACAACAACCACAACCAACAACCAACAACAATCAAACAACAACAACACCACACACCAACAACCAACCAACCAACAACCACAACAACAACAACAACAACAACAACAACAACAACAACAACAACAACAACAACAACAACAACAACAACAACAACAACAACAACAACAACAACAACAACAACAACAACAACAACAACAATCATTTAAGACTGGGGACACTCCGTTCTCACCAGTGCCAGGGTTTTCATAGGAGGCGGGCAATACCCCCACTTTGTGGGGGGGCCGGTTCAAGCTCTACCAAGTTTCCAAACGACTCTTCGCCACCACCCACACCCAGCTTCCCGCCCTATGACGTTCGGACACTTCACTTCGTGGCCTGCGGACGACCTTGGCTACTACACTGGCGCATGGTTACAATGACTTCTTGTGGTAACATCTTGTGGAAACTAGCTTAGTATACGACTTATACCGTGATTTTATGATGCGCGGTGCTAAAATTCTTAAGAACCCAATGGTTTTTGGAGATTTCGGCGTGCGCGCGCGAAGAAAAAACGAATGTGTCCCGCATGGTATTATTTGACAGGGATGATGGCCCTGGCAGGTGCGCAACCGTTGTCGCAGAAGTTCGAAAAAGTTGCTCGCAAAAGCCCGTTTGACAGAAATGTTTAAAAAGTGTTGGTTTTCCTACGAATCCGCAAGAGCGCGCGGGATGAGATTTTGACATTTTTTTGTTGAAAAACCATTGGTTTTTTGATGTTTTTATGTTAAAATCGCTCCGAACACTAAGCTTTTGGAAGGATTTCGTCTTGCGCGCGCGAATGTCCACTTTACCTTATTTTTTGCAAGGGATTCTTGAAATTTGATTATATTAGAACAAGAAATGTCATTTTATAGTGTTTTTTGCAAGGGAAAACGGATTACAACAAAACAACCGGATCTGGATCACATCGTTTTACCTGAGGCTTCCTCACGAAAATGATGAAAATGTAGCTGCGGCCTAGGCGGCGCAGGGGGGGCGTGCACCAGGGGGCCCAACAATAATTATTCTTTAGAATAAATAATGTTCAACAACAACAACAACAACGTTAACAACAAACAACAATGATAATCCGCATCGCGGAATTCCACTTCAGCCACGTACCCAGGGGCAGTGAATGACCGTTCGGTTCAGCCCCCTCACCCTGATATTGATATATACATACATATATATATACAAGACTGCAGTGGCGCTTCGCGCCATGCACCTTGGTCCTTGAAGTTTCGTATGCAGGCGGAATGGCAGGAAAGTCAAGCCGACAATTTAGCGATAACTCCTGTTTGCCTTTTCCGGCATCGCCGCTCTAATGATGTGATTCGTTATCCTTCCTCCATGCTTATTGTTCCTTATTTTCGCCATACCCTGCGCATTCTCCCCATCCTCCTCAGCTCTTTTTTGCGGAGGTTCCTCCTTGGAGAGCCTCTAGGGGCCTCACAAAAGTTGTTTCGGGTTTTCTTAAGGCCTTCTGGAGGCCTCCTGGGCGTATTCTGGGGGCCTCCGGGGGCTTCCTCGGGCCACCCTGCCTCCAACCGCCGTCTCCCTGAACGACCGAATCACGATTTGGAATTCTTCGGAGGGTGTCTTTGGGCCATCTTGGGCCGGCATGGGGCTCTCTGAGCGCCATCTTGGACCCGTGTTGTGCCGTTTTGGGGTTCTCTTGGACTGCCTGGAAGCCCTTTCGGATGGCTGTGGGGCGATTTGGGAGCCTCCCAGGCGGCTTCGGACGCCCAGAAGACCGCCGTCTTGGAGCGTCGGGAAGCCGAAAAGAGGAGAACCCCCAAATTCACCAAGAACCCACAGAAAATCAATGATTTTTGCCTCGGGGGGCCTTCTTGGGAGTGCTCTTGGAGGCCTCTTTGGGGCCGTCCTGGAGGCCTCTTGGGCTATCTTGAGGTCACGGCGGTCACTCTTGGAACGCTCTTGTGCTGTCTTGGGGGTCTTTGGGACGTCTCCGATGACCCCCCTGATCGCCCTAAGTGTGCTGGGAAGGCTTGGCAAAACGCCTTGCGAGGCCCGGTGGCCGCTTCGAGGCCCGTTCGGAGGGCCCCAAAGCCCCAGGTCCCATGAGTCCGGTTTTGGGGGGGGGGTGATGGGTTTTCCCCCCGCCCGGGCTTATAAAAATATAGGAAGAAAAATATATATATATATATATATTATATATATATATATATATATGTATATATATATACACACACTCATATATACGGGCGCTGGTCTATTCCCCCACCTCTTGATTTTTGAAGGTTTGTTCGACCGGAAGTCACGATCGCATGGGCAAGACAGGAGCGCATGGTGATGAGTCGGCATCCAGCGAGCGCAGCAGGAGGTGACATCGATGATGCACTCTGGGTCTGTTTTTTCGTGCAATGATCCCTGTCTGGATCTGTGCAATCAGCAATGGCCGCCCAAGAACCCTTTGGAAGTAAGGGGGGGTGCAGGTGACAGTGTGTGTCCCGCGGAGGGGGGTCCCTTAGAAAACTACTGAAACCCTGACAGACGGGTCAGGGGCCGAATCCCCCCCTGCATTTGAAATGATCCTATGTTGTGGAAAGCGGAGCGCGTCGTTTGCTTGCTGCTGGTATCGGCGCGGTATACCCGCTGTGCTTGTCCTCGGCGCTGCCTCCCCTCTCTCTCCTCTCTCTCTCTCTCTCTTTCTCTCTTTCCGCCGTCCTCCGCGTAAACCTGAGCCGAAGCCTAGCCTAAGCCTCAGCCTAGCCGAGTTTAGGCACCAACCGACATTTAGCCTAAGCCTAGCCTAAGCCTCAGCCTCAGCCTCAGTCTAGCCTCAGCCTCTGCCTCAGCCTAGGCTCATCCTCGGTCTCTGCCTCAGCCTAGCCTAAGCCTGGCTTAAGCCTGAGATTCAGCCTCAGCCTAACCTAAGCCTCAGCCTAAGCATTGCCTAAGCCTGGCCTAAACCTCAGTCTAAGCCTAAGCACCAGCCCCCGCCTAGCCTAAGCCCAGCCTAAGCCAGCCTCGCCTAAGCCTCAGCCTAGCCTAAGCCTAGCCTGAGCCCAGCCTAAGCCTCAGCATCCTCAGCATCAGCCTAGCTTGAGCCGCAGCCTCAGCCTAAACCTCAGCCAAAGCCTAGCTTGAACCTCAACCCGACTATTGCTACTACAAGATTACGGCTTTCTCCACCCAAACTACAACATTACTATTACCAACGTGCTATAGTACTACTACTCCTGCAACACCACTCGTACTACACCAGTACGACCGTACTAGCATGCTGCTGCAACATTCGCCTGACGAAGGACCCAACCACATGCAGCTGCGAGTACCGCGAGGGATATGAAACGAAAGACGGGGGCGGGCAAACTCCGAGCGGCGCACGCGGTATAACCGTCTGCCGCGAAACGTGTGAAAGGTGTGCTGACATGAGTCGGGAGGGCGCATGCGAACGTCGCCAGTGGAACCTTCCGTCGAGCTCCCTGTGGGGCCACGAAGCGTGTGAGGGGTGTGCCGAAATTGGGCGGCGGTGTCATGCGAACTTTACCGCTGGGGCCTTCGGCGGGGCTCCCTATGGGGCCACGAAGCGTGTGAGGGGTGTGCCGACATGGGGCGGCGGCGCCATGGGACCACGAAACGTGTGAGGGGTGTGCCGACATGGGGCGGCGGCGCCATGGGACCACGAAGCGTGTGAGGGATGTGCCGAAATGGGGCGGCGGTGCCATGCGAACTTTCCCACTGGGGCCTTCGGCGGGGCTCGTCCGAGCGACGCCAAGCCTCCTGGCGCCCCCCTCCTGGGGGGGGGCTCCTCGTTGCTTCTCCTCTGCCTGCCCGCGGTCAATCGGTCAATCTTTCCCCATCCCAATCTGCCCCGATCCTGCGGCCGTGCCCTGCCTTTCAAGCGCTGGGCCCTCCAGCCGAGGTAGGGTTAGGTCGGGCATGTCCTTCTACAGGAGGATTTTGGACGAGAAATAAGCCATAGTCAACACTTACTCAAAGATATTCAAACATAGTCAACACATCGCTCCCATACTATTTTTGAATATTCCTAAAGGAACAGGCCCGACTTAAAGGTAGGGGGTGGGTGTGGGTGGGGGCCTGAGTGCACCGAGTGCCACGCGTGACGGGAGTCTTCTCGTCCCTGCGCCCTCCAGAAACGAGTCGGCCACGAAGCGATCCACAGTTGCGTCAAACCTAGTGCGAATCGGCAGATCCCGCTGACACGCCTCTGTAAAGTCGTTCGTTGGTTCGTTCTCCTCCTCCTCCTTCTCCTTCTCCTCCTCCTCCTTCTCCTCCTCCTCCTCCTCATCCTCCTCCTCCTCCTCCTCCTCCCTCCTCTCCCTGCCCACCCTGACGCCCGCGGTCCAGAATTTGGCTCCGCAGGTACTTGCGCAAGTCTACCATGTCTTTAACTGTCGCCTGTCGAAGGCGGAGGAGGAGGAGGGGGAGGAGGAGTGGAACAGCTCTCGGGAATGCTATCGACTCCCAGGAAGACATCGGGGAGGCGGAAAAAGGTTGCTTTGCTGTCAGAGAGGGCTGCCGGGGAGCGCCGGGGCGTTCGAAGAGGAGAGGGACAACCTCGAGGCAAAAGACCCGTAAGCCACACGACTGCTATCGGGGAGGAGGGGGTGCGCCCATCACAGGGGCCCCTCTCTGTCACCGGCCGGGGAGGCGGAGCCCCGGCGGGGGCCGACGACAGGGCGCAAAACCCGCTCACGGTGGCGCTTCCTCGGCCAGGGCCCTGCGGACTCCGATCCGCTCGCGGAGTGCCGCCGGGCGCTGCCCACGGCCCGTGGCCGACGGTCAAGGGGTCCAAGGACACACACACACACATAAACACACACAAATAAAAGGATTCCCCATGTTTCCCACATTTTCTGGGTGTTCGTCTTCCCTCCCAATCCCCATGCTTTGCCATATTTTCGTGGGGATCGACGATTCATCGTGTCTGTGTCTTTTCCCCTCCTGAGATGGAGAGAGCGCGCTCGGGACCGCCAGCTCCGTCCGCACCTTTCGCTGGGGCCCGCGGCCCACCGCCGAGCCCTCGGATCCTGCCCCCACTATCATCGCCCAGGCATGCACGTCGGTCGGAAGAAGTGGGCAAAAACATGACGTAGGAAGGCGGATGAAGCAGATTGGGTACAGTCGGGGCGTTGACCTAAAGGAAACTAAAATGAGGAACGAGGCCCCTTTTTCCCATAAGCTCGATTTCCGATCGAAAACCCTGGGGCAAGCTGCGAAACACTTAAGGAACGCGGAGCCCCTCCCCAACGAAAAGGGTTGCTTCCTCAGGGCCCCGACTGTAGGAAGGCGGATAAAGCAGATTGGGTGCAGGCCCTCCCAGATAATGACAAAGCACAGCAAAAACATATGGACCCTGGAAGTAGGGCGGCGCTGAAAGTAGACTGGGCTCTGGGAATCCAGCAAAACGACCTGCGTACTTTCAACGACCAGCGTGTAACGCAACGCCCGCTTCACCCCTCTGCCGCGCGCGCTGGCGGGCCCTGGGCGCCGCACATTCGCGCGCAAGAGCCGCGCTCGAGGCTGCTTCAGGGTCCACAAAACTTCTCAACTGGCTGGAGCCCCATGAGCCAGGACTCCAACAACCCGGTTAGAGGGCAGAAAGCCCACCCCCATAATAATCACCCCGACACGCGAAGCCGTTTAGTAAACGCACCAAGAAAAGGAATCAAATCGAACCATGGCCACCCAGAATACTGGGCTGGCACGGTGGCGGGACTTGCCGCAAGCAACTGGTACATCGCGTCCGTGGATTGGCCGGCCTTGGCGCGCTCGAGTGGTTTCGAGCGCGCATGTAAGCATGCTCGCGTCATCCCGCACTTTGTTCCCCTCTGCTGGGCCCTTTCCTTGGAGGAGAGCCTGTACGATTGCTGCCTTATGCTCAGCACGCTCACAGGTCGCTCGATCTTCCATCTACCCTGCAACAGAGAACGCACACAAGTCTAACCTGGCGTCGTCTGGGGGGAAACAACCTGGCACAACCCCTTCGGAACAATCCTAACACTCCCTCCGTGTCCTGCTCGGAACGCGCGATCGCGTGCTCTGCCCCGTGGAGACGCAGGAGGATTAGCAATACTGGTACCGTCCGTGGCCACGTGGATCCTCGGGCGGAAGCCGGGAACAAGCACAGGAGAGGCATCCCCTCGCCTACCGAGGAGGAGGAGGAGGAGGAGGAGGAGGAGGAGGAGGAGGACGAGGAGGAGGAGGAGGAGGAGGAGGAGGAGGAGGAGGAGGAGGGCATCCCCTCGCCTACCGAGGCAGGCCTTGGGCCGCGGAGGAGAGCAGGAGAAGGGAGAGCAGAGTCGGGCGCGCCCACGAATCTGAATGAGCGTCCCCCTTCTCCTCCTCGCCCTCCTTCCCCCCCCCCCTCGTCCTCCCCTCCTCTCCTCCTGCCTCCTGCCCCTCTCTCAGCTAACCAGTTTTCGTCCTCGTCCTCTTCGTCCTCGTCCGACTACTCATCTGCCCCCTTCTCCTCTCCCCCCTCTATCTCTCACTCGTCCCCATCATCATCCGCCCCATTCCCAACTTCCTCTTCTTCCTCCTCTTCCACAATCTTCTTTGCTATCACACTTCATCTTCGCACACGCGGCAAACACGAACCATGTCTGCCAAGGCTGTGCCCATACTTCCCGACCCGGGAGATGCAATGCTCCTCTTCGAGAACTGATGGCGAGCCTCTTTATCGCCCCGCAATTGCATCACAACGTCGACAAAGTCGGTGAACGTCAGGACTTTGTCACCCTTGCCGCAGCGCTGCGTGCACATGCCTCCTGCTCCCCCTCCTGCTCATCTTTCTCCTCCTCCTCCTTCTCCTCCTCTTCCTCCTCCTCCTCCTCCTCCTCCTCCTCCTCCTCCTCCTCCCCCTCATCCCCATTATCTGACCATCCCCTTCGTCATCGCTCATATCTCACCCCACGTGTCGCCGCGCCGCGTGCTCTGACCGCGCTCAAGTGGACAACGCCGACACCACGGCAGACCTACGGCCGATACCCTGCGCCCCGCACCCCACGCGGACGAGATCGCTACGTGGCAAACCCCCCACGCAGCAGAGCCCGCCTCCGAGGCGGCGCTTGCCCCGGCGAAAGACGTGAGGCCGCGCGGCGGCACGGCCCGCGCGGCGACGTGTTGACACGCATCCTCACCCCGACACCGCCGATGGCGGCTGGATCGAGGCCGCTCCATCCTGCCAAGCACAGGCCATGCCACATCGGCGTGTGCTCCCTGTGCAGCATAGGGCGCCTTCGCGGCGACGTGCCCGGCAGGAGCGGGCCGGGGCAGCCACCCCCGCGCGACGGGGCGGAACGCCGCACGCCGATCCGTCGACGGCGGGGCCGCGCGCGCGGGCGGAGGAACGCGTCGCCCTCGCCCCGGCGCCGCGCAGGCTCCGCCCCAGGCTGGCGCTCGCCGCCCCGGCGCGGCGCAGGTGGGCCGCTCGCCAAGTCGCCGGGGACGGGGCCGCGGTGGGCCGCGCGCGAGCGGGCGCCTCGTCGTCCTCGCCCGGGCTCCGTGGGAGCTTCGAGCGGACGGCGGCGCTGCCGCTCGTGCGCGCGGCGCGCGGGGCTCGCTCGCCCGAGGCGCGCACGAGGAGCGGCGGCGGCGCGAGCGGGCGGCGTGCCGCTTCCGCCCGAGGGCCGCGCGGGCGGCGCGCGAGAGCGGCGGCGCTGTTTCGCCGCGGCGCGAGGAGGAGGAGGAGGAGGAGGAGGAGGAGGAGGAGGAGGAGGAGGAGGAGGAGAAGACTTCGACGCCCGAGAGAGGGCGAAATCGTGCTGTCGCCGCAGCGCCGTGCACGGAGCTTGCGAGGTGCAGCACCCCTGCCTGTACGCGGCCCGCGGATTTTTTTGATCCGCGCCAAGACGTCGGACGCGGGACCGCGCGCCAGAGCCTTCCACTCGCTGGGTGGGAACACGAGGGGCAACGATAGGGGGGGACTGGCATAGGGGGGGTGCATCGACCTGGAATCGGCGATACATCGCCGATGGATCGGCGATAGGCCTCCGACAGTGCATCCGCACCTTCCTGGGCAGGTTGGGGCTATCGGGGCCCTATCGGCGATCAATAAGCGATTGGGGGTCGATGCATCCCCCCCTATGCCCATCCCCCCTATCGTTGCCCCCGAGAACAGGGCTGGACCTAAACGTTGTTTTTCGTTTTGTTTTCGTTTTGTTGTTCGTTTCGCTCTGCATGTTTTCCTGCATTTCCCTCCCAAAACGAAAAACATAACACCGCCGAAGTCCAGCAAGACAGCGTTTAGGTCCAGCCCTGGGTGGGAACGCGTTCCAAATCAAACTGTGTCACCAATGATTATTATGGTCTGGGGGAGCCGGGGGAATGGGCGGGGCCCACTTACTCGTTCGAGCTAGGAACTTTGACCACACTCCTACGCCTGCCTGTCCTCCTCGACTTCTCAGCCTTCTTCTCCTCCTCCTCCTCCTCCTCCTCCTCCTCCTCCTCCTCCTCCTCCTCTGCCAGGCTCTCCTCCTTCTCTCCCCCTCCTCGTCCTCCTCTACCTCCTCCTCCTCCCAGTTTTCCCTCCTGCCGCTGCTCCCCCATCTGCCTCTCCGCCTCCTCCCGCTCCTGCGCGACCTCCTGCCGAGCTGCCGCCGCGCCTTTCCCCGCACCTGCTGCTCAGAGCGGGCACCGGGGCCAAGACCAGCCAGGGACAAGGGCCAGACCAAGAAAGCGCCGCGGCGAGCGGATGCGGGGCCGAGTCGGAGACCGCCGGGGACCAGACTGGATCGAGGGGCCCCGCGGTGACCCGAGGCCAGGACCCTCACAGGGACGGGCGCGGCCAAGGCCGAATCGAACAAAATGGCGGCAAGCGAGGTCAATTCTGTGCAGGGGTGGGGTGGGGGGGAACAGTTTCAGCACACGCACTGCCAAGTGAATGGGGGACTAAGCCGGACCACAAAAACTGGTGGAGACGGGGTGCAATGCCTTGTCCGCGCACGCGCTGACTGGAGAACAGGTGGACGGATGATCAGCAAACGGTTTTCCAATTCTCTTTCTCGCGTGCACCGACGCCGTGGACACTCGTCTGGAAAATTGATGCAGACACGCGGTTGAACAGTCGACGGTGTTTGAAATTACGGTTCTCTCGAAGCCGAAGGCACCATTTTTACACTCGATCGATTACGGTGGCCGAAGCTGGTTCCCTCTCAAATACACTTTGTATTTGGCACACACGCTGTCGAACCGTGATGCGAACGTTGTTCATGCTGCTGCATGTCAGTGTGCCAGGAGAGCCCTCAAAGAAAATGTCCTGTGGCAGGGCCATCGGATTCTCACAATTCCAGCCCCTCCAGATCCCGTGCAGAACTCGCACCATTCAAGCCCTCCCGAGTCCTGAGCCTGGGGCCAACGGGACTCTGATCATTTGGACGCGAAGCGCAGTGACAACAAATACTAGATGTATATCTTGCGGCAAAGAGGGCGTGGGAACTGAAGCGTCAGTGAGGCTTACCAGGCGTACTGTGATCCTCCTCTTCCTCCCCCTCCTCCTCCATCCCTGCTCCTCATAATAGCTCCTCCCAGTGGCACCCCGAGACGCGTCGGTACGGCGGGTCGGGCGTTTCGCGTGAGGCTGCCTCACCAATGCTGTTCCCGGGGACTCACAGGTGTAACAATTGCGCGGATGGACGGCTGGCCGTTCTCAGAATGTGGCTCTCGCCGTAGCACCGCACCCAGTGGTCTGAAACTTGCGCGAAGAAGATTCACGGATGGAGGGCGGACCGTCTTCAAAATGTGTTTCTCGCAATGGCGCCGCGCACGTCTGTCTTATGCAAGAACTTCCCGGATGGAGGGCGGGCCGTTTCCGACATGTGGCGCTCGCCCCAGGGCCGCGCACGTTCGGAATGCAAGCTTGCCAGAGCTTCACGGATGGAGGGCGGGTCGATTTTCAACGTGTGGCTCTCGCCTTAGCGCCGCGCGCACTCGTCTTAAACACTTGCAAGGGCTTCGCGGATGGAGGACGGCTCCTGTTTGAAAACGTGGCACTCGCCATAGCGCCACGTGCATTATTATGAAAGTTGCAAGAGGTTCACGGTTGGAGAGCGGGCCATTATTAAAGTGTCTTTTTCACCAGAGCGCCTTGCACATTCGCCCAAACAAGTTGTACACGAAGCGTGCATGAAGGGCGGGCCGTTTTCAACATGTGGCGCTCGCCCCAGGGCCGCCACATTCGCCTTGAAAGTTTGCCAAGGTCACAGATGGAGTGCGGGCGGTTTTCAAAATCTGGTTTTCGCCACAGCGCCGCGCACATTCGTCTTAAAAGCTGGCAAGAGTTTCGCGGATGGAGGACGGTCCTCTTTCAAACTCCGGCTCTCGCCCCAGCGCCGCGCATATTCGTTCAACACTTTACCACCGTTCAACGGATTCTTTTGGCTGGCGTTCCAGGAGTTGCATCCTGGCACGATGTTGGATACCAGGGCGCCATAATCATGTTATCTCGCCAGGTTGCAGTCCCAGGAACGGGTGTCTGGCATGATTCAGGACCGTCAGGACGCTATAGTGAAGTTCGTTGGCGGCATTGCAATCCAACGAGTGGCATGTTGGCACGACTGCGGGTTCTCAGACGATTGTTGTCCAACGGGGCACTTCCAGCACTTCGTGTGGGGACCGATGAAAGTGGAACTTGGAAGGAAGGTTTATTGCAACATCTTTGTTACGTTTTCGGTTTGCCCTCCTCCTGGGCCTCTTCTCCCTCGCCTTCCCCCTCCTCCTCCTCCTCCTCCTCCTACCCTTCCCTGTCACATTTGCTTCCCTCGCCCCATCCAGTCTTGCGCCCCCTTTCCTTCCCTCTTTTTGTATCGTCCTCCCCTCCGCACCCTCCCATGGTCATCGCCGCTCTCGGTGTCCTGGGCGGGCCGTCCCCACTGGCAGTTGCTGTCCAGTCGGCGCCTTTTTGGTCGCCCTTGCGCCCTTGCCCCAACGACCGCCCCCGTTTCCATTCTCCACCCGTTGCCAGCTTCTTTGCCAGCGTGCTGCCGTTGCTGACCCTTCCCTCTTCCCCTGTCTCATTCCTCCTCCTCCTCCTCCTCCTCCTCCTTTTCTTTCTCCATGCTTGTCCCTTCAAATAACTCCCCCCTGCCGCGCCCCCAGACGCATCGGAAGGACGGGCTGCGCCTGAACGTAGTGATCCAAAACATGGCTACGTAATGTCTGGAGTGGAACGGCAACTAAGAGATGACGATGGGCAGAAACAAAAACCTTTTGTCTGCGCCAGCGCCTCAGATCGAGTGCCGGCAACGCGGCTGATACCGGCAGATTGGGCGGTACTGCTTGGAACCAAACGGCGGCTGAACCAGGCGAACTTATGTTCTCCCCCCTGGGACAGACCCTCAAAATCGAGGGGGGGGGGGGGCGAGGCCTGACCGCTGGGGTCGTCTTGTAGGCCCAAGGCGGCCGCAAAGGTGTCAGGTAGACGCTTAATGCGGCAACCTTAGTTGCAGCGAGGCAAGGGCCAGGAAAAACGATGTTGCGAAGTACTGGGTCATGTCTCCAAGCGCCTGACTGTAACAGAGCAAAGGTTAGCTGAGCCAACGCAGATTTTGCTAGGCCAGCCAGAAGGCACTCCATGAAGTTCTGGAGAGCGCCGATGGGGCTGATCCCACTCCGGGAAGACAGATAGCTAGCCTTGCTTATCTGCGAAGCTAAAGCCCAGCATCGAGATTACTCCTCAGCAAAAGGCTAGCTGAAGAAGCGCGGGCACACGCTCACTTCCTGGCCACCGTGTGTCCACGAGA